ATTTCTTCTGTAGTTGAAAACAATAGATTTCCCCATAAAAGTTGATTTGCCAAACAATTACACTTGCAGCCCCAATCTCTTTGACAATTCTTTACCTGGTGTTAAGTACTTGAATCAAAACTAGTACCAAAACAAAATTTTACTTTAAAAAGGTAAAGATTAAAATGCACTAATACTAAATTGTTCTCAATGTACTCCTCATTGGCAAGCCACTATTTACAACTCCTACTGCCTTAAGAAATGGGCTTCAAGGTAAACAAGAATGTCTTAATTGTGTCTTAGATGCATGTCTATACACAAATACACAAAAGAATCCTTATTTTGTACTACGAAAAGCTATTTCAACTAAAGTTTGATGATGGGTGTGCTTTGTAGAAGCAGCTTCCTTAAAAGGCGTAAGATTAGCAAACTTTCTTCTTTTCATTTTCTTATTATCAAAATGATACAAAATATAGATCGTTTACAAGGAACAAAGACTCTGTATATGCTATAGTACCTTTTGCTTCAGCCACTTGTCAGAAAAATAAAGATGAAAGCTTTACCTTTATTATTAAAACTTTAGATAGGAACATAGACCTAGATAATGTGTCAACACTTGAAAAGAGGGGACTTAAATTAACATAAGAGAATGACTTGGGATAGTCTCAACCATATGATAAATATCCATTACCTCCATGAACACTGCTAAAGTCATCATCGGAATCTGAGTCCAGAATGCTGAGTGTGTCAAACCATGCATCTTCGTGACAAATAACTGCAAGTACATGGATATCTTGGTTACTTTTAATTTTTTAAGCTACATATCCTTCGGCAGATAGTGTTTAACAACTACTATGTCAAACTAAGAAGAAGGAAGAAACCATCAATGAGCCCATGCTCACATATGTTGATAAACAAAATTATTAAAATGCTATAAGAAAAATGCATAAGATACTCTAGCACCATTTCTTCTACTATTCCTGTCACACGATAATATATCTGAAGTCTCCCATCACCATAACAGATGAATAACTCTATGTGATTTCAGTAAACTAGCTAGTTTCTCTTCTCACCTTCAACTAATTACCATGGATACCCGTAACAGTCCCTCAATAAGATACAGTTCTACCTCCTATCAGGCATCCAATGCAATAAAATTACATAGTGTCTATTTAGCTTTGATAAAGGTGTATACGCCTAGGTATTGTGTTCATATCCAAAACTTTTACTAAGGTTTGCCATATATTTTAAAGCATACCATTAGCATCAACTTGACTATGGTGCCACTGCAACTGAGTAAGATGGAATGTCGCATTAGAAACCTCAGATCTCCTGCAGGTAGTGGTTGTGTGAACAAACTCACTAAGTGAAAAATCTGCTACTCGAGCATCACTGTTCCTTTTTCGAATCCCATCTGCTACATTATTAGAAAGCTTCCCTTTATGTTTTCTTGGCCGATAATAAGGTCTCCTCCGGGCCTTAATGTTATGGGATGGAGTTGACACACAAGCACCCATAATGAAAACTGAGTCAAAAGGAAGTTACAACAATTATGATGCCAACCTGACCAACAAGTACTGCAACAACAAATTACAAACAATGTAACTGACACTGTGACACACAATGTAGCCGCAGGCTCCGAAAAAAACAGACAACGAGAATCCATGGAGAATAATAAACATGTAGATATACTTAAAACCTGGAAAGTGTTACTTTTTGAAGTTAAGACATGAAAAAGTGGTAAGGGATAAATGCAATTCAGGCCATAATCTGAAAATATATGCTAAATAAGTATTGGTCAGCAAGACATCAAATTTGCCACAGGTTTATCTCTGCATGAGGAAAGTATCACTTAGGAATGAAACTTTATGGTAAGACTCAAAAACTCAGAAAAAAGAAAATATGGCACGGGTAACACGTACTTTAAGGAGTCTAAATTCTAGTAATTGACGTGAGATCAGTTTTTAAATTAGCCATGAACAAATGGATTGTCAACTAAATATTGCTGGATCATATGGGACTTGATTGTACCTTAGCAAAAAGCAAGCATCTCCAGTAAAATCACTGAGACTGTAACTGGAAAAAGGCTGGCAAATGGATCAGCGACGAAGTAAGAATCCTCCCATGACTTTCTACAATTTCAAGTACACTTAATAAAGAGGCTGCAAAGAAGAAGATTTGAATTCAACATGTCATGGATCAACAAGTTGAAATCGGCCATTCCAAATCAATTTGCAAAGAAATTTATAAATATACAAATGGGACTGCATATTGTTGATAAAGCAGACTTGTTATTGTGAATATACGCTTGGATGATGGCATTAAAGACGAATGAAAAACTCCAAAGTAAAACTGGAAACTTTAATAGTCTAGGTACAGCCCAATATGTAAAGAATCAGTTGAGTTTATAGTTGCCTGTTTAGAAAAAAAAAAAGGAGAGAGAGAAAGAAAAAATCGCCAATAGATGAATAGAATGAACATGACCTTGTTGAGTTCACTATCAAACAGAAAATCGCATATATTTGATAGAAAAGAGGAAAGTAGTTGCACATCCAATGAACAAAACAGGACAAAATTTGAAAAGAAAAAAGGCTAACGATAAAGATGGTGGGAGTTTGTGCAGGAAAATACACTGCATATTCCATACAGACACGATAATATAAAACGAAAATGTCGTATCCAACAACTAAATAAATAAATAAATCAAATCAATTCCATTCTCTGACTCGAAACAGGAAAAATTATCAATGCAAAATCAGAGCATTTAACAAAAAGAAGAGAGGGGGGGGGGGGTTTAACAAACAACACGACGGGAATTAAAACTAACGGCAATTGAGCTTCTGATGCAACAACAAGAAAAAATAAATAAACGGCAAATGCGTGGAGTTTATATTAAAATTCAAAGAAGAAGAAGCAGGCATTACAACTAAACGTAACAAAATTAAAAGAAAATGAATCACCAATACTAGACATATCTTAGCTCAAGAAAAATCGACTGAGTGGACGCATAAAATTGTACTGCTGCACAAATCAAAATGTACAAAATACATAGATAGTACTTTCATTTTATGATTCGCTTTGGAATAAGAAAAAGTGGGGACCTTGGGGGGAAGAAATGCAAGGAAAAAACAGCCCTGAGCCGTGAACCTCCCTCCCTCTCGCACTCCGATACGACCAAAGACAAAAAAAAGGAGCAATGACCGGACGGGGAGAGGGAGAGCTGCAATGGTGGGGGTCCGACGGGGACGGTGACGGAGTCGGATCCTAACTCCCCCTTGTGAAATAGATACGTATTTTTTGGATATATATAATAATATATGATGTACACGTATATACAATATACATGAACATTTACGAATTAATAGCGCGACAAGTATTATATAGGCAGAATGAGAGAGAGGCGGAGGTGCGATGCGGGGAGGAGGACAAGGACGTCCTTCCTTCAGCTCCTTTTTCAACTGTTGTTTCAATGTCACGATGAATTTGTCGTTATTATTTTTTTAATCAGTATTTAGAGAAATTAAATATCATTTTAAATATAAAAAAAAATTATAGGATGAATATTATCCGAACATCAAAAAAATAAAGAAGAGAAAAAAATAAGGAAGAAAACAAAAGGGGTGGGAAAGCGGGATCGGTGACGGTTCCTCGCAACCTTGATCGTTGCCTCCGTCTCCGTCGTCATGCCCACGTCATTACTTTTGCTTTTATGATGATATTTCAAGCCTATACCATCCACTTATTTGCAACCTTTTTCTTACTTTATATATATATATATATATATAACAAGGGTGCATCACCATCACATCTTTGGATGTTTGTTTTAATTACTCTGTTCTACTATTATAAATGCAAAAACTTCCTACTCTAGCTCTCTCTCTCTCTCTCTTTTATTTTTTTTTATTTTTTTGTAAATCGACACCATATGTGCTAATCTACTCCTAATGCCTGTTTTGTCCCTTATTTAAAATCATATAAAATATAAATTTATATTTCTTAAGTTTGATTAGACTCAATTAAATTCGATTTATCTGAACTGGAACTCGAATAAGACAAAATAAAATCAAATTCGAACTTGAATTTGACTTTCAAGAGTTTGATGAGTTCGATCTCTAACATGAGTTTTTATAACTTGTGTTGAATTTGAGTAGTATAATAATTGAGCTCGATTGCACCTTTAAATAAATAAGAGTCGTCAAAATGCTTAACAATAGTAGTGTGTTATTGGAGACGTGCACAAAAGAAATGAACCATGTGATGTGATCCATTATTAAGCTAACTTCCCAAGAATCACCAGAAATGAATCACATGGACATGGTTGGGTTGCTTTGGGCTAGACCCTGCCTTTTTGTAGTACATCTTTTTCCAAATAAACAAATGCACGATAATTATTGCGCATAACGCGTGATAATCCATCAATTTTTTTTTTGGGCAAATTATCCAATTGGCCCTTTAACTCTTTGTCTAGGTAAAATTAAGCCCCTCATCTATTTTTTGCTGACTTTAAGCCCTCGAACTTGTAAAATGGGAAATCCATGGCCCTTTTAGCCAGTTTCTCCGGTTTTGCAACCGGATGACCAATTCACACGAACGCCATGTGCTTCTTTCAAGGGCATTTTTGTCCTCATATTCTAAGCAAAAAGGGCACACATAATCCACCGAAGGAAGCTGGAAAAGTGCTCATTTTTAGTCAAAAAGAGAGAGAAAATAAAAGGGGAAATTGCTGATCACCTACCCCCTTGCCCCATGCCGTAGAATATCAAACAAAAGAAAACGCAAAAAGATGAGAATTTTTAGATAAAAAATAATTTTCGAAAAAAAGGTGTTTCCTTTCTCATTTTTATTCCTCCTACTCTCCCCACCCCGCTGAAACAGAATGGCTGAGACGACGTTGCTTCAACTACTCAGACTCCACCAGGACGATGACGGCCTAGACGACGTCATTGAAGAAGTAGATTTTTCTCATCATCAAACCCATCCCCACCGCCATCATCTCGATCCCTACTGGTCTTCCGATTTCGATGCTATTGGTTGATCCCCCCAGCGACATCGTGTCGGAGCCCGAATCGGTTGTCACCAGCGCTGATTTTTTCGACCGCGAGAATCAGGTGAATTTCGTTATGGACCTCCTGCACCAACGAGTTGAGCAGTCCCAATTGTCCTCCACAACCTGTGTGGTGATTGACCCGGAGATTTCCGATGCTGACCCGAATTTCAGGATTCATGAAGGAAACGACGGAATGGAGCCGACCCATTTGGATCTTGATCTGAATCTAGGGTTTCTCGGAGAGCCCACTTTGGCAAATGTGGAAAATTCAGGGTTCGTAGCTGAAAATTTTGAGGGTGGGGACCATTTTGTAACCGGGTTGCGAGTCGTGGATATCGGGTCGGAATCGGATTCTGATATAAACCATGACGTTGAGATTGATTTTAGTGCTGACGATGATGATATAAGTGAGGGTGATGATTATCCAAGCCTTAGGCTCTGTTGGGATTCTTTTCAGATTGAGGATCATAGAGAAGTTAATGAGGATTTTGAGTGGGAGGAAGTGGATGAAGCAGTTGATGAGAGAGAGGTTTCTGAGCATGTTTCTGGATGATGATGACATGCCGGTGATGGCTCGGGAGGAGAGTGCAGATGTATCTAGGAATTTGGACTGGGAGGTTTTGTTAGATGTGCAGAATTTGGAAGCAATCCCCGAGAATGTGACAGAGACGGCCATGGGATTGCGTGGGGGTTGCGCAGGGAAGAGTAAGGGAGGTGAGGGAAATCAAATAGAAAGGTGGACTATGTGTGCCCTTTTTGCTTAGAATATGAGGACAAAAATGCCCTTGAAAGAAGCACATGGCGTTCGTGTGAATTGGTCATCCGGTTGCAAAACCGGAGAAACTGGCTAAAAGGGCCACGGATTTCCCATTTTACAAGTTCGAGGGTTTAAAGTCAGTAAAAAATAGATGAGGGGCTTAATTTTACCTAGACAAAGAGTTAAAGGGCCAATTAGATAATTTGCCCTTTTTTTTTCTATCTTTAAGCTCTGAAGTTCTCCCCCCGCATTTATAAGCAGCGTTGGCCTATTGTGTTTCTGCTGTTATTGATACTACTATTTTCTTACAAAGCCTGCCCCGTATAAGTTTTCTGGTAAATCAAATTACATTAGTTTTTATTTACTCAAAATCCATATCTTTTTGGATTTTAGAAATTTCTGTATAACAAGTGAAAAGTGTTCAATTTGTTATATTTTCAGACATTCGGATTTTTTTGTTATCATATGTTCATGTTTGTTCCCAAAATTGGTGGTTTTGGCAAGTTACTTTTCAACCCTCTACTGATGTCACGTGGTTCTCCCAGTGCACACATCATGGAGCATTTAAAATTGTACCAGTTTTACGTGCAAAACTTTGTGATCAATTATAATATTCTAAAATAACAAGGACAGTTGGTCATCATAAAAAAATTTAAATCTTGGTAGAGTAGGTGGTCAAGGTTCAAATGTTGAACTCCTATCAATATACAATTATACGTGGCTTCTTCTAAATTCATACGAATGCATAGTGTGCCGTTGGGTCACTTACTCTAAGTGTAGGTTAAAGTATGAATAGATTAGATTAGATGTTACCATATAATAAAAAAAATTAAAATATTCTAAAACTCTTGACATAAAAAATTTGTAATAGTCAGTGCACTTGTCTGGCGCATACAAGTTCAGTTTGACTCTCCTCATTCTTCTTAGAAATATTCACTTGTTTTCAATTGATCATATTTATTTGTTTTGTTCTACCTAATTAGCGGAGTTAGTAGAATCAGTGGAGTCAATGGAGTAGTTAGTGGAATTAATGAAGTAGCTAGTGGAATTAGTGGAATAATTAATGAAATTGTTTTGATCTCTATAAATAAAACAATTTCATGTTATGAGTTGTATATCAACTTTACAAAGAAATAAAGCCTAGTTCTTTACTTTTTCTTATTCCCTCCGTCCCACTTTGATAGTCACGTTTTCCTTTTTCGTCTGTCCCAAATTGTAGTCTATTTTTCAATTGAAAAATGTAGTTGTATTTTAATGTTCCTAAAATGTAGTTGTATTCAATGTAAGTTGTTGTTACTAAAAACCTACCCCATCTAATGAGAGTTGATTCTTTTTTTTACCATCAATTCAAGTTCCCATAAAGTTGTACTCTAATTAATGTGAGGGTATTTTAGAAAAATATCCACCTATATTGATTGTTCCAACAAAGTTCTTTTTATTAAATTGTGTGAAAAAAGAATCAGAAATATTAAAGTGGGACAGAGGGAGTATTATTTTTCTCAGTAACTGTATCAATCCCGGTAGGTTAGAAACGAAAGAATCCTAGGGAACGCCGTTGTGGAGAGCTCAGGCTACATAGAAAAGTAGGCCATTATTTTGGACAAGGAGTGATTAACAAGGAATAATTCATTCCGTGCATGGTGGTGGGCCTTCGCTCTCAGTCAGTGAATCCAACGTAAATTGTCGCAGCCCCAATTATTTGCAAGCAACCCGCAAGTGGTGTAGGTTGGATGAGAAGCAGATCAACTACTATATTACTCCCTCCGTCCCATTTTAATAGTCCTGTTTTTCTTTTTCATCTGTCTCAAATTATAGTATAGTTTCCAATTGAAAAATGTAATTGTATTTTAATTTTTTTAAAATACACTTATTCAATGTAAGTTATTGTTACTATAAACCTACTCCATTTAATGAGAGTTGATTCTTTTTTTTTATTATCAATTCAAGTTTCCATAAAGTTATATTCTAATTAATGTGAGGGTACTTTAGAAAAATAGTTACCTAAATTGATTGTTCTAACAAAGTTAACTATTTTTTCTTAAACTGTGTAAAAAAATAATCAGAACTATCAAAGTGAGACGGAGGGAATATGTTTTGGGTGACAATAAATTACTAATAATCTGTACTTTCTCTAGGAGTTGCCTAGTTGTCGTAGAAAAAATGCAATCATTAAAGATCCACACCAAAATAAATAAATAAATAAATAAAGTTTGTTCTTTGTAATCATTTCTCCAAAAGGGTTCCGTCTTGAAGAGGGAGACGATAAAAAATTCCCTCTTCCTTTTCATTTCCCCTTTTTTGGTGTGTACATGACTGGCAGAATATTAATTTTCCTTCACAATTAATTTTTCAACTTTGAAATTGAAAGCGGAGAAGACCTATGAATCTCTCCTGACCGTTGGATCGATCCAGTGGTCGTTGTAAATCGTTCTAAATTGCCTTTGACTTGTAATTTCAGCTCGTCTGAGGAGAACCTCTTAATACAAACTTTTGGGAACTTCTTTTTTTTTTTTTTGGGTTTCAACGAATTTTAATAGTAAGTAATTAATAAAAGAAGAAACCTGCTTAGACAGATAAAAGGATCAATTTTCTTTCTTTCTTCACAGCACAGCTTTAAGAAGTACGAAACGAATGCAGAGCTAAAATAGCCCTTTTGGAAATTTTACAGAAAATAGATCTTAAAGAACAAAAATGTCGGGCCAGAGGAATAATTCCTACACGGTATACAAACTGTGGTGCGATGCCGATCTAGCTATCGCGTTCTCCAAGGTAGGAATAAAATCAAAATGAAAAGAAAAGAAAACAGGATTGGTTGCGGACTCCCCCCCGATCCCGATCCCGATCCCGATCCCGCAGGTCCTTAGGCATGGAAGCTCTGATAAAACAAAGTTGTTTCAATCAAATCCAGTAAACAAACAGCCATAGACAGTTTTCCGGAACTGGCAACTCTGCTTAACCGGTAACCTTCTCCAGCGAACTTGGTATACTTTTCCACCATGTATAGAGTATATCTGTATATGTAAGCATGCTTCTGTGGTTGTGTTTGTGTGCTGCAAAATGCCTATCCACTGTTTGAAGTAATTTCTGACTAGGAATGCATTGTTATTAAACCACAACGATGGACTCTGATTTCTTCTGCTGGTATAGAATTGTTCTATTGGTTCAAATATTTTGTACCTTAGTCACAGCAAAATGAGTGAAATTGTATGATTTTATAGTATTATCTCCATCCCCAAGCGGCCAAAATTCTCGTCATCTCAAGCATTTATAACTCTATCCTTTGATAAGTCTCACTCATTGTGCTCAACTGAAAAACAAAAAGACAAAAGGAAAGACAGCTCTTATTCATGGATATTTGTTTGAAATTTGGAAATCCTATTTCATTTCCAAATGAGACGGAACATTTATAGATTAAAACAGATAAGACCAATACCAATTATTCACGATTTTGTAATTGCTTTTGCCTCTCTTTCACCTGGTGGCATATGCCCTATATGCATATGTGTACCATTTGTTGTTACCTTGCGAGCAGAATCTTGAGAAAATTTTATGCTACTTACTGCTTCACTTTCAAGCATGAAAACATGATAGTTTGGGTTAATGATTTGATTATCTCAGTCGAGAAGACCCAGGAAAGTATGTATATTATCTAGATGGAAGTTTAATTGCATCGAACGTAAATAAGACATGGAAGACTTTTATCCGCTTTGATCTGCTGCTGTAGAGGTTTGTCTACTCTGTTATGCTGCCTAATTTATTTGGCCCAAGATGTTTATCTCCAGCTTTGCTCCATTTAATTTCTACGAACAAAAATTTGGAAACTAATTCAAGGTGATGAATTATCTGCAGTTTTGCTTGAAGCTTGGTAAAGTTGATCATAATCCATGATGAATTATCTGCTGGGTTGGGGAATGGAGTTGTTTTCCTTTTGTATGTATTGAATTCCATTGTGATGTCTGGTTGAGAATTTTATCTGGTCACTAAAGCATGAGAATTACTTCTTGTCTATTTTCCAGTTTTATTGTACTTTCGATGTTTGTGGACAGAAGATGTGATGTCAAATTGATTGCTGAACTTTGATTTTTCTCCGTACTTTCTGCTAATGATATCTGCAACTTGTTTCTGAAACTGTTCTGTCAAGCTCGGATTCGGAGGAGTTATTGGACACCTTTCCAGATAATCAAGTGGCAACATGGCATCTAGGCGGCAGATTCGCTACAGTCGTCTTGCTGATGACGAAAATTATGGTTATGATGATGGGACAAGGCACAATGACCCTCGGTTTGACTATTTTCCAAAATCCCGTGATAAAATCCCATGGAAATCCATTGCCCTTGCTCTTTTTCTACTACTTCTCGGATGCCTACTCCTCTTGCTTGCGTGCTTCATCTTTACTGGTCATATGGGAGGAGAGCTATCGCAAGCATACAGCCTCCTTGGATTGGGGATCCTCGCCTTCCTTCCCGGTATGTGAGACGTTGTTTTTGCAGTCATCTATGTCTAATGGCTTTTTTATGTCTGTGTGTCTTCTTGTGGATGATGCACTTCATTTTCGTCCTAGTAATACAAGGAATTATATAAATCTTGATCGGGCTACACATTCTGCTCTAGAAGCCGAGGAAGTATAACTAATTCATGTCTACATTTGGCTGCAGGATTTTATGAAACTCGAATTGCATATTATTCCTGGAGAGGCGCCCAAGGATACTGCTTTACATCTATACCTGATTACTGAATCTTCTGCTGTCCTGAATGTTCAGAGTTGGAGCTTGCTGAAACTTTATTGTCAGTACCTG